TCTCGCTCTCTCTCTCTCTCTCTCTCTCTCTCTCTTCTCTCTCTCTCTCTCTCTCTCTCTCTCTCTCTCTCTCTCTCTCTCTCTCTCTCTTCTCTCTCTCTCTCTCTCTCTCTTCTCTCTCTCTCTCTCTCTCTCTCTCTCTCTCCTCTCTCTCTCTTCCCGAGCGCACTTGTCCCTTTCAGCCGTGCATGACATTTTGGCGATCTCTTGTGTCGGTCAACTGCGTGACAGTGCTCCGATGGCCCACTTCTGAGTGCAGTGCCTCCTGCCCCCTTCTCCCGCCATGCACGCGGCCCGCGCCTCCCACGAAACAAAACACAGCGCGCCGGCGGCGGTGTGAGAGCTGCCGACCGCCGCGCGGCTGGCATGACGAGCACGCGGCTGCCGACGCACTGCACGTGACGCCCCTCGGCGTGTCCCGGGGAGCGTTCACGTTCCAACAGCACGTGGGGACGCGCTCCAGCGCATGCAGCGCGTAACGCAAGGGCGCTATCCCCAGGCCAATTTCGCACCCATGGGTGCCTACTCCGGACCACAAATGAAAGACACGATCGGGATCTGCACGCGGTGGATGTTCGCCAGGAACGGTATCGCAAACGCGATCAGCCGGCGCGAACCGGTGAAATCCAGACGAACGACTCTGAACAAGGCTGGCGAACGCCAAATCATGCCAATCACGGCTGTCAAAAATGATGCGATTATCACCTCGCAAAAAAACTAGGCGCAGCCCAGACATGAACGGCCGATGGTACGGCCAAATGGCGTGGTATGTGCCGCCTGGCCGGGCCCCGGCGCCGTCGGTAGTCCACCGAGCTGGTGACCGACCCGTCTCAGGCTGGACACACGCACGCGGCCATTTGACAGGTCACATGTTGTGTTGTGTGTTACATCTGGAGATGCTTCAATCCCTGTGGCTATGACGGCCTCCCACATCTTATCATAGCTCTACAACAAAATGTCAGCAGCACGTTATGCGCATTGTGCATAACATGAAAAGTTCACGCTCACGCACGGTATGAGCCTAGCCACACGCTCACTTAGCAGAAACAGCCATCTTTTAAGGCTGCCCTTTCTTAACAGTTGGTCACCTTGGCATTGAACACTCGAGGACGATAAATCCGTCACATCCCATGCCAGTGTGTTCCACCTCTTTGTGCTTCGGGAGGATTTGATTGTTTCCTGTTTTCTGGCTGTCCCAATGGCAGCTGCAGCCTATCGTCTTATTTGGTGTTTGGCGCGCGGCTACCAACGTTTCTCGAGAACAAGTCTGCCAAACCCTCGGGACTTTTGTCCTTACCGCGTGGTACGTGACGATGCCTTCATAATACCCCACCAATTATTCGATATCTGCCTGCTTAGTTTCGCCTTAGCCTCACTGCATTTTTTCAGATAAGTAATAACTCGGGTCGCAAACGTTAGATCTGGTCTAATATGTTTTGTTATTTTCCCTATGTAGCTGTTACGCTCAGGCAGTACGACAGGTGTGGTAAGACACGTGACTTTACCTCGTGACAAGTTACCACACGAGCAGCAAGAGTATCAGGCAGAAGACAGTGATGATGCGCAAGATCTGTAAGAAGACCTGTGCGGGCTCTTGTTACCTCGCCTGTATGTCCTGCCACGCTAAATAGCGAACAAAAAGTACGAACGACTTAACATCCTGCATGGAAGTTGTTAAAAAAACGAATATTTCGGAAAGAGGTGGAACAAGGCGTGCGAATCCCACTTGATGTAGTCTGTCAAGAAAGCCAAGACGGTGATTCCACCCCACGCGATATCGTGGCGCTCTCCAACGCGGCCCTCAGGGCGCCGCAGTCCCTCCCATCGAGAGCCGGAGACGTCCCTGCTAATGGCGGGGGTGCTCAGTGCCCTGGCGGCTGTGGAAGTTCCTTGGAAACCCCGCCGCCGTCAGGGCCAGCGGGCCCTGTCCACACGGAAGGTGAGCTAGGATTGCTATCTGATGGATAAGCGCTGCGTGTGAGATCGTAGGGCGAGCGTGGTGAGTCTAGTGGGTAAGCATTGCCAGCCATCTACTTCGAGGCGAGCGTGGTGAGTCTAGTGGGTAAGCATTGCCAGCTATCTACTTCGAGGCGAGCGTGGTGAGTCTAGTGGGTAAGCATTGCTAGCCATCTACTTCGAGGCGAGCGTGGGTGAGTCTAGTGGGTAAGCATTGCTAGCCATCTACTTCGAGGCGAGCGTGGTGAGTCTAGTGGGTAAGCATTGCCAGGTTATCTACTTCGAGGCGAGCGTGGTGAGTCTAGTGGGTAAGCATTGCTAGCTTTCTACTTCGAGGCGGAGCGTGGTGAGTCTAGTGGGTAAGCACTGCCAGCTATCTACTTCGAGGCGAGCGTGGTGAGTCTAGTGGGTAAGCATTGCTAGCCATCTACTTCGAGGCGAGCGTGGTGAGTCTAGTGGGTAAGCATTGCTAGCCATCTACTTCGAGGCGGGCGTGGTGAGTCTAGTGGGTAAGCATTGCCAGCTATCTACTTCGAGGCGAGCGTGGTGAGTCTAGTGGGTAAACATCGCTAGCCATCTACTTCGACTTGACTAGCGACTAGAACCGCTTGCTGCAACAGCACGGGAACTCCGCGGCTATCAAATATACCGAAGGTAAGTGTTCAGGGCTCCTGATACTGATGATTCTGGCAGAAGCATCAGTGGAAAGAGGATGGCTCCTGACGACAGGAAGGTTATGAGCTGTCGGCCGGCACCTTATGAACAGATCAATGAGCTCAACACTTCCTGTTGCTGTGGGAGAGCTTGTTACTACAACAAACCACCAGGCCCTGGACAGAGTGGGGGGGGGGGACTCCTGGGCCGGTGAGTCAAATCACGGACGCTCAACCAAACCACCAGGCCATGGGGCAGAGTGGGGGGGGGGGGGGACTCCTGGGCCGGTGAGTCAATCACTGACGCTCAACAAACCACCAGGCCCTGGGACAGAGTGGGGGGGGGGGGACTCCTGGGCCGGTGAGTCAAATCACTGACGCTCAACAAACCACCAGGCCATGGGACAGAGTGGGGGGGGGGACTCCTGGGCCGGTGAGTCAAATCACTGACGCTCAACAAACCACCAGGCCATGGGGCAGAGTGGGGGGGGGGGACTCCTGGGCCGGTGAGTCAAATCACTGACGCTCAACAAACCACCAGGCCATGGGGCAGAGTGTGTGGGGGGGGGACTCTGGGCCGGTGAGTCAAATCACTGACGCTCAACAAACCACCAGGCCATGGGGCAGAGTGTGTGGGGGGGGGGGACTCCTGGGCCGGTGAGTCAAATCACGGACGCTTAGCAGCTCTTCTCGCACAACCGTGGGGAAAGCAAAAGCCGCGAGCATCCAGTCTCAGACTCACAAACCAACAACTCGCAGCCAAATTCTTCCCGAGTGTTATGAACGGCGGTACAGTACACATTGCCTGGTCACTGCTTAGCGTAGTCATGGTTGCGTCGCTGCACCCACTAAATACCTCGAAGGCCCACAATTTAGCCATGCATATTGAGTTACGACCACATTACTCAATTTAACAAAGTACGACTACATTGCATTGCAATCAATTACAACGAAGAATGCATACAATAACAGCTAACGTCGGCCCTCGTTGGACCACCATGCCCGGCTGGCGTGCTGATACACTTCTGATGCCCCCACACACTGACGCCACCCAGGGGTGGCGTGCTGATACACTTCTGATGCCCAAACACTGACGTCACCCAGGGGTGGCGCCAAGTGGCCAAAGGGCAGGGGCATGTGCTCCCCGACGAACTCGAACTTCAATGATCGAATCCGCAGTTGGCAATGTTATGCAGTTGGCGATGTCGCAGTTCGCAGTAACGTTCGCAACGCAGATGGCCATGCGCAAAAGCAATGTATCTAAGATACCCGGTTCTGTTGTCATCTGTTGTAAGCCCATCCCCCCCCCCAAAAGAAAAAATTAGGCCATCGAACGATGGAGCTACGCATTTCTGCAGCCCGCACGATTGGTATCTGATCGTGGGACGAGGCCCATGGGTGCAAGCTATCCCCCTGCAGATGGGTCATCAGCCCTCGGCCCAGCGGCGGCCGTGCTCCTCGGGCCGCTCTGTGCCGGTCCTCGTCCCCGGCAGCCCCGGCAGCCCAGCCCGGCCCGTCACTGACCGTTTGTTGAGCGTGCTCCTCTTGAGCGGCACGTAGGCGTATGGATCGGGCCGGCCGGCACGCTTCACATCGCCACGACCCTTCTTGGAGGCGTACTCGGCGCCGGGCCGGCTGGCCGCCGACCGGCCCGACCGCGACGACTTGGCCGACGCCGTCGACGCGCCGCCCGTCGACCAGCTCGAGCGGCCCGACTTGACCGAGGCGGCGCCGCCGACGCGACGGTGGATGCCGCCACCGCCCGCTGTCGACACAAGCCCAGTTAGAGGCGTCTCACGTTGCAAACGCAAGTGCTGGCGGCGATGGACGGTGGCGTCCGGGTCCGGCGAGCTCTGAGAGCAGCACCAGCCCCGGCTGCCGACGGCGCCGGTGGCAGCGGCCAGAGCCACACTGGCGCGACGCTCAGCCCCCAGCAGCAGCGCTCGCAACACCCTCTGTCCAAAACGCCAGGGCTGAATGTGACCCGGACAGCACACCTACAGCAGGCGCAATAGACGGCCGGGAGCGCAAGACGGCGGTGGGCAAGCCAAGCACGCGCCGGCGGCCGCTTACCAAGGTACTTCGAGGAGGACGGCTCGGAGGCGGAGCCCTGGCTGGAGGCGTCCAGCTTCCTCTTCCGGCGGCCGGCCGTGTTGCGGATGGCCTCCATGAACTGGTCGGGCTCCTCTGCGGACGACACGGCCCGCTGTTGTGACACGGTTCTGGATACCAGCGGCGGACCGGTACGACAGTTGGACAGCAATGCGCCGCTCACACCCCGCGGCCCTAATGTATGGCTATGGTGGCAATAATGCACACTTTGTACAATGAACCGAATCGATTTCCGTCAAAACCTAATGAAGGACACCATAAATGCGACAGACACACTAACAATGGCTACAGTGGTTAGTTATTAAGTAGGGGTGCGTCAGCTGTATTGGTTATTTGCGCCAACGGCTACAGTGGGTAACCAAGGTGATGATTCGTCTTTTGCCTCGGGTATAACATACATGGGGCACCCAACATATATCGGATATAGGCTCTAGCCCACGCTCGTACGGTACAGACTGCAGCTCGGCTGCGCCAGCCACGACAGCCCGGCCCAGCGGGCGAGCGGAACCTGTCGTCACCGACGGCAGGCGAAGCGGCGCCGCAAGGCCGCTGCCGGCCAACGGACGACAGTGAGCGGCGGCGGTCGAACGATCCAATAGGCAGCCTCGCTGATGACCCGCACCTCAAGAGGCGCGACCCCGAGCCCTGCGGCGCACGGCAGGCGCCCCTCCCCGCGTGTTCGGTTCGGACCGGTGCGGAGCGGTGCGATGCCCACAAGCTACAGCCAGCGTCTGCCGATGCCCACAAACTACAGCCAGCGTCTGTGGATGCCCTGTATTGGTTATATCGGCATTCATCGGCATATCATCGGCATATCATCGACAGTCTGCCGACGCCGATTGCATTGGCTGCATCAGAGTTGAGGCCCCGGCGCAGCCGGCATTCTAAGCCGGGTTCCCCGCGTGCTAATCCGGCGCGCATATCATCCGGTCAGTACACGCCCTTCGTCGTGATGAGCGATGAATGAAATCAAATCGGTTTTCTACGATCAGGATGTGCAGTGAATGTGGGTACCAAACGAAGGTCAAGGTACAAGGCCAGTGGGCAGGGTCGGTGGCTCGGGAGACAGCAGACGCGGGGTGTCACAAGGCCAGTGGGCAGGACCGGTGGCTCGGGAGACAGCAGACGCGGGGTGTCACAAGGCCAGTGGGCATGGTCGGTGGCTCGGGAGACAGCAGACGCGGGGTGTCACAAGGCCAGTGGGCAGCGTCGGTGGCTCGGGAGACAGCAGACGCGGGGCAACACTCAGTTCAGCGATAGGGTTAAGAACAAGGTTGGGTTGGCTAAAAACTCTGCTCCCCCAAACACCACCAGCCCCAGCTCAAAACTCAGCTCCCCCAAACACCACCAGCCCCAGCTCAAAACTCAGCTCCCCCAAACACCACTAGCTCCAGCCCAAAACTCAGCTCCCCCAAACACCACCAGCCCCAGCTCAAAACTCTGCTCCCCCAAACACCACTAGCTCCAGCTCAAAACTCAGCTCCCCCAAACACCACCAGCCCCAGCTCAAAACTCTGCTCCCCCAAACACCACTAGCTCCAGCTCAAAACTCAGCTCCCCCAAACACCACCAGCCCCAGCTTTTCCTTTACGTGTTCTGCCTCGGCCGCCATGCGTTCAATGCAACGGCGCGCGTCGTAGCTTACTCCGTACGTCCAAAGGCGAGCTCGCCCTTCGTGTATGGGGGCGTTCAGTGATCGGATCGATGGGGCAAACACAGCTGAGTGACCAAGGCATACAGTACATCTGTGTGCCATTCAAATGCTGGCGAAGGATGATGTGTAGCTTGCGCAACAGCCACCTGGTAACGATGGCAACATTGACCTCCTGGGCGTCGCCCAAACTGCTCGAGAAAACAGCAACCGACTGTGTGTCTCCGTGAACCCAACGTCAACAGGTCGAACGAGCGGATGCACAAAAGGAAACGGGACCGGCCAAATCAACCGAAAAGACGTGGACGACTTCATAGTCAAGCTCGGTCGCAGTGCGTTGCAAATGCCGTGGTTTAAATGCAAACGAAAAGCATGGCAGGGACGGCGTATCAAGTGATTATCACATGGGTGTTATGTCATGACGTTAGGGAGAACAAACCTCCGAAACAAGAGGCTTCAGTCATTTTTAAGCAGTCAACGGCGATGTTTGTCCGAAAGCCGTTAGCAAGACTATGTTTGTTACGCGCGGTGATTGAGATATACAGTTTGGTACCTTGAGCCACATCGAGTTTGGTCCTTCGATATGCTACTTTCTATTACAGGATGAATCATTACAGACGGTTACATAGGTCACATCGACACAAAGACCACGCAGACACACGGACTTACGGAGAGCGCCCGCGAGTGCCGCGGTCCTCGTGATCGCCGTGTGGAAGCCGAACCAATGTTCCCCAACTGGCATAGTCCACCCTGACATAACGGGGGGCCATCTTACCATATCCCGCATAGAAAATATCGGAAGCGTTTTAGCGCCACCGTAGTATCATCACGCCTACCAAACAGCGGCATACCAAGCATCAGCTTCAATGTCAGGAATCAGTTGAGCTTTCAAACTGATTGCAAACTGCACAAACTGACCTAGTTACGAAATAATACTGGAACAGAAAACATACACTCTCAGTCACTCAAGTCATGCCAAAGAAGCTACCCCCGAGCCTTCGCGCACCATTACTCCAGGGCCTTCCACCCTACCGCCAACTGCTCGACGGAATAAGCCGGCAAGTAATAAATGGATTAGCCCTGTATACATCTTGTACACATCTTAGGGTTTTTGTTCTGCCACTTTGTTGCTTGTGCACACCGACTGATGTCCTAAAACGACTGAGTTCTAGGTTCACCGAGGTCTCCTCGTTTGACAGGGAACAAACTGCCACATGGCAAGTAGGGAAGGCACAAGAATGCGTTGTTAAAGATCGCCGCTGACACGCAGATGCTGGAAGAGGTCTTTTCACCAAGCCCCACACATACATAAAAAATATATTTAAGCACTGGCTTACGCTGCACGCATATCTAAATCACAAGGATAAACATGTAGATGGCGGTGTAGATAATCTGAACTTGAAATGGGGATGAAACAGGTTAGATCAAGGCTCTTGCTATCGTTGCCTACTGGTTGCTGGCACATGGCCAGATGTGTCCGAGCTGATTAAGTCCTCGCTTGTGTCATCTTATTACGTAAGCGTCCGCCAGGTATAACACGGCTACATGTCCCTGACAAGTCCTCGCTTGTGTCATCTTATTACGTAAGCGTCCGCCAGGTATAACACGGCTACACGTCCCTGACCATGCCCGCGCCTATTTTAAGTGAGTCTGCGCACAAAATGGAACGTCGTCGGGTTCAAGGAAGTCGGCCTTGTCCAGACGTAAACAATATGCCGCTACCACACAGCGTATGGCCAGATCCACAGCCCATTCCCAGTGCGAAGGACGCGCATAATGAGCCGCTGCGGCAGCCACCAGAGCCACCAGATCACGCGCTCTCTGGCTCGACCCACCCTGTATGAGTCAGTGTGCCAGGCTCGGCTGTCCTCTGGCCAGCGGCGAGTGCCGTCCCGTCCGTCCAGTCCAGTTCGGTCACCTCTCCCGGTCCCCAGTCCCCATCCCCGTCCCGGTCCCTGTCCCAGTCGCCATCCCTGTCCCAGTCCCCATCCCTGTCCCGGTCCCTATCCGTTCCTGTCCCAGTCCCTACCCTATTCCCATCCCTGTCTCAGTCACACGTCCCTTTCCCGGTCCCTATCCCTGTCCCAGTCCCTATCCCTGTCCCAGACCCTATCCCCGTCCCCATCCCTGTTCCGTCTCTGTTCCCGTTCCCCCATCCCTGTCCCGGCCCCTATCCCCCGTCCCCAGTCCCCCACACCTGTCCCGGTCCATACCCCGTCCCCAGTCCCTGTTCCTGCCCTAGTCCCTATCCCTGGCCCAGTCCCTATCCCTGCCCCGTCCCCATCCCTGTCCCGGTCCCTATCCCGGTCCCTATCCCCCGTCCCCAGTCCCCATCCCTATCCCAGTCCCCCACCCCTGCACCAGTCCCCATCCCTGTCCCAGTCACCCATCTCTGTCCCCGTTCCTGTTCCCGTTCCCGTCCCCGTCTCCCAGCATCACACGTCCCTCACCGTCGTCGTCGCTGGAGCCGGCCGGCTCGTCGTCCTCGTCGTCGCCGGTATCGATGATCAGTCGGCCGTCCTCGCTGAGGCCGAACTCCTGGCGCCGCCGCTGGTGCCGCCGGTCGGCCGCGCCGCCCTGCTCCGGCCGCGTGGCTGCCCGAGCACGACGTCCCGTCACCAGAGGGTGGCAGCCGCCACAGCGGCTTCAGCCATGTCGGCGCCGCCGACGGCACGGGACGACAGAGCGAGCGGCGCTCAGCACGACAGGGCCAGTCAGCTCGACGATCCGATAGCCCATCCCAGCAGCCGGGTGCGTAACACTAGGGAAGGTCCGCCAAACATCGGCGGTCGCGCCGACCAATCAGGACCCAGCCGAGCTCTGTGCCGCATCACAGCTAATCCGTGGCCAGGACCTCCACGCCCACTGGTCAGCACGTCCACAGCAGCCGGCAGGGGTCATCGGCTCGCCGGCCCTCACCGGTGACGTGGCGCGACGCCTTCGGGTCCAGCAGGTCCACGATGCTCTCGGCGTCCTCGCGGATCCACGCGGTGCCCTTAGCCGCTCGGCGGCCGGCGTGCGGCTGCGGCGTCGTCGCCTCCTCTTCCTCGTCCGAGGACACCTCGGCCGCCCGCAGGATGTCATCGACGCTGGCGGGGGCGGGAGGGCGTGTCAGCGGGGGACGGGGGACGGAGGGCGCCTTGGCGGGGGCGGCAGATGTCTCAGCGGAGGACGGCAGGCACGTCAGCGGGAGGCGGAGGGCGCCTCAGCGGAGGGCGGCAGGCTCGTCGGTGGGAGGCGGAGGGTGCCTCAGCGGAGGGCGGCAGGCTCGTCGGCGGGAGGCGGAGGGCGCCTCAGCGGATGGCGGCAGGCTCGTCGGTGGGAGGCGGAGGGTGCCTCAGCGGAGGGCGGCAGGCTCGTCGGTGGGAGGCGGAGGGTGCCTCAGCGGAGGACGGCAGGCTCGTCAGCGGGAGGCGGAGGGTGCCTCAGCGGAGGGCGGCAGGCTCGTCGGCGGGAAGCGGAGGGTGCCTCAGCGAGGGACAGCAGACGCGACAATCGCTGCCTGTCCACTGTCGTCCGGCCGCTGTCGCCGTCGACATACACTACCGACGAGGAGGTCACGCTGCCGGCTCTGGCGGCGTTCGCCCGGCCCCAGCCAGCAGCCGGTCACCGGACGAGTCCCCGTACTCGGTCGGCCGACCCGCCGGACAAGGACACACGAGCCCACACACCGACACATCGCCGCCACAGCATGAAACACAGGTCATCTTGTCTTCGCAACGCCAGGGCCCGTGTCCCGACACAGCCGCGCGTGCCTGAGGCGGTCTCAAGCCAGGCCGGCGGGAGCGCACCTTTTAGCGACGGGCTGCGCAGTCTCGTCGTCGGACGCCTCCGTCTGCTGCTTCCTGGCCTCCCGGTCGGCCTTCTTGCGCTGCTCCAGCTTCCTGATGTTCTTCAGCCGCTTCTGCAGCACTACGTCGCCGGACGGAGCCAGACCTGAGGCAGAGCACGTGCGGTCCAGCGGCCGCTGGAGGGACGCTGCTGCGCGGCATGTACCCCGCAGAACGCCACCGTCGCAGGCCAGCCACGTCCCGGTATACTCAAGACAAGGTCTCAGCGCACACAATCCACAACAAACCCGCCCCGTGGTAGTGCCAGGTTGTACATGAATCCCGCGGGCGTCAGGACGGCGACAACCGTTCCAGGCCCGTCAACCATAGGATCACGACAGCGGCGCACCTGGCGCAGGCGACCGTCCGGTCCCTTACCGAATATGACATCGAAGCCAAACTTGCGGACGAACACGGTGAGCAGGTCCCTCGTCTTCTGGCGAAAGTGGCGCTTGCAGTCGGGGGTCAT